TTTTGGAATCTTTTAATTTGTTTCAATAGTACTTTGTATATGCCATCGGCATAATTGAATTTATGTACTTGGCCATGCGAAATGCTTATCTGTCAAAAAAAATTATGGCTCTAGATGTTTACAAAGTTGAATTACTGTTAGAAAGATCGCTATAGTATCTGTTCTTATTAATCCATTGCAATTTCCATTGTTTTCAAGAAATAAATAAATCACCGGAAATCCAGTACCATGAACTTCTGCATGAAAATCCTAAAGCTCAAACTTCAGATTATTTATGTTATCTAAAAAATAAAATAATAATAAAACTTTAGTATTTATTAAAATATTTATATTAGATTCATTAGTGTTAGAACTTACAAGTAGCATCGATTCCAAATTCGTATAGACGAATTTTATTTTTTTAAATTATCTTCTCTATACCCGTCATGAAGCCAATGGCTTGTATTGGAGTTTCTGAGTAATGTATGATTTCAAAATTATTTTACTTCAAACCATTTTTTTACTGAAATAAAAGCATTCTCATCAAATTTATAATCAACTATGAATTTTGACCATCAAAATATATTTGTTTTTGGAAATTGATAAATCAATTGATATTTTCTTTAATAAAATCTTTAACAGAATCTGGTACAGAATGACTTGAAGGACTTGAAAGATGTTAGCTGCTATGTCAATAGTAATTTCAAATATTCCGTTGCACTCAAATTTTTGTCTTGATTATGTATCATGTTGACGATTAAGATCTGCATGTTTACGTGTTTTTTTTTTTAAGATTCGTTCGCTGAGAACATAAATACCAAAAAGACATGGAATTCTGATTTTGACATTTATATTCTATATGAAAACTAATGAAAATAATAATGTTTAGTATCTTCATGTATAATAAGTAAAGCAAATGTTGAAGGTTACTTCCAAGAATATTCGTCTATATCAGAAATTTGCTTTTTAATTTCATTAGCGGTTTCCTTTGATAATCGATCAAATAAGGAAGAATTAACAATTCATTTAATATTTAAATGGAAATTATCATAAAAACAAAAAATGCAATAATAATAGACACATTAAGCTTATAATAAAAAAATGTAAATCGTAGTGTAAAAACTTACAAGTTTATAGTTTCAAACATTTATTTTAAGTGTAATACTGAGAATATATAATAGTTTCTTTCAAAACACTTTCGCGATATTTTTGAATAGGAGAAAATATTATCCGTGTCGTGTAATATTAACAAAATTAATAAGCGTGAAACATAGCTGATGTGGCTGATGCGCCACAAAAATCACGTGCCGGTGATTTTTTCCATTACAGAATAGAAGTAACGCGATTTTAATATTAATAGCCAATAACATATATATAACTTTGTCATTTTTTCATATTATTTTTCCAAAGATAACACTCGTATACGACAACGAAAAAAACTAGAAAGATCTTATTATACCAAAGAAATAATAAAAAAAAGGAAGAAGAGATCGGTGTTTTCAAAAGTTTATTGAAGGAGCCGGAGAAAAAGTTTATAATGAATTAAATCCTCCTCATTATCCTCTATTGTTATAAAATCATGATTGAATCATTTGGCTTACTAAGTCTTGTAACTTGATCATTTTAGCATACATCCCATTTATTCTTTCTAACTTATCAAAATACCTTCCAATTTTGTCCATTGCAGGTCCAAAGTTCGGGCATATTTCCAATAAAATTTCCTTCATTATTTTTTTCATTAATAATTTTAAAAATCAAAAAATCGGGCCCTCATAAGTAATAAATAAATTTTATTAAAAAATACCACCGCCGAATTTCTTAAATAAGTTTTTTTCAAATAATAATAAATATATCATTGCCTAATAGGCTGCATTTCTTAAAAAAATCCGCCTCATATCATCGATCTCACTCTTTCCAACATATAGTCTAAGTTCTCTATATGGGAACGTGAATTTTATTTTGCGAATTTTAATCAAATTTTTTCCTATTACATTTTTCTATCTCATTTTTAAATTGATTACTAGAAAGTGGTGCAATATAAACAGTCATAACAAAAGCTACAATATATATATTTTCATGATTCATCATACATTTATATTGGTTGATTATTCAGCACAATTGGTTTATTAATTTATTTATCAGAAAAATATTTTGGTCGCTTGTGATCAACATATATATTTAATCCTATTGATGTTTAATTTATGTATGTCATTTCAAAAATCTTATTCAGGATTGTATTCATTCAAAAAAGAGTACATCAAACTTTATTGATCATCTATTTTAACTATTTTTGGTTGTTTTTATGTAGGATTTACTATATGCCTGATCGAACTCATTATTTAAATGTCATAATACTAATATGAAAAAGGTAAAAAAAAATACAAGCTGTGTTGTCTTTACACACGAAAAAATGGTGGTAATATTCAGTAGTATATAAGATCATTACGCGTCACGTTGGGGTAGTCAATGGACTATTGAATCAAACATACATATGTATAGTCTGATCATTTTTTATTTTTAATTGAAATTAAAAGCTTATTTATTTTTATATTAAAAAGCTATGGAAAAATTTTTAGACGTTTATCGTTTACCATCTTTCTAATTTGAGAAATTTCTGATTTTTACGAACAGTAAACCAAATCATATTAAAGCTTTCGATTAAATTTAATTTCAATCTGATATATATATTTTCAGTAAACTTTGTATCATAAATCGATAAGTTTATATAACAATGTTGTAAATATTAAAACGCAACTATGTAAAAGAAGTATTAAATTTTTCTTTGCCAAATTTGGTATCAATTCATCACAAAGCTAATTATCTAATTTTATACAGTACATATATAGATCTAATAAACTTTGGTTATAAAATTATATAAATCTTCGAAATAATAAATAGTATTAATTTGTAAATAATGCATATTCATATTAAACTATATATATGTTTGATCCGATTAGACAATCGGCTACCCCGGCGTCACGTCTTGCGATGAAAGTATAATTATATCGAACATTTTTGAACATTTAGAACATTTTAAGGGCAATTTATTGATAAATCACGTGACAAATGAAGTTGATTAAGGATACCTCGCATAAAATGCAAAGTTCGATTCTGTTTTGTTGGCTTTAATGCCAAATGTTTCTTGATTTTTATAACTAAAGGTATTGTGAATCAATCTTCTACAATACAATAATCAGTAAGCATGTAAATATAATCGAGCTTCTTGATCGTTAGTCCAGAGTAATACAAATTTTTAACATCGTCCAACAATGACCTCTATCGCGTAGATCTCAAAGAAAATGATTTTCACTAATTTAAAGAAAAACTTTTTGATTAATTAACTCAATAAACTCTTTATTAAATCCAATATAATAGGTCTTAATATGTTATCTTAAATCATTCCAAAAATTGCGAAAATTTCTTTGTTTGTTATTATCTTACGTCCTGTATTATCAGCATATATAGCTACGGAAGTAGGGGTATCCAGCCATGATCATAATTTTCTGCATAGTGCCAAATTGAAATGTCAATTCAAATGGATTAAATATATTAGTTAAAATAATTACCTATTTGTCTAGGCCAGCTTGGATAACGGCGAAAATTTTATAATAATGTTTCCAATCATTATAAATTCAAAAAAAAAAATTCAAGATTTTTAATATGATAAGACATTTCATTTGTGGAGATTTATATTATTTATTCTACAGTTACATCTTACGCTTAGAGAGCTTTCGGAAATGATAGATAGGAGATGGATTCGGTGAAACGCTCAGTCACCGGTTTTTATTAATAAAGTATAGAGCACTCTTATCCTAGACCCCTTCCCTTAAATATGATTGGTTCAAAAATGATTCGCATCAGCCACATTATATTTTCGTGTAACAGTTATCTTGGAAAATATATTGTCTATTTTTGCATTTCACACACTTTTAAAAATTAAAAGAACAAAAAAATTTCTATATTTTCGCGGACATTTAAATATTAAAAAATAGAAAATATTCTGTATTTTTATGCACTCTAAACATTAAAGAATAAATAAAGATTTTTTAACAATAAATCATAATGAAATTACTTTAATATTTTAATATAAAAATTGTAAAAAGTAACTGTTTAACCTTGGAATACAAAGCTTTATCAAAATGAAAATTTATTTGAATTTTATATGCCAAAAATCAATGTTAGAATTAATGATTATATTTTATTATTAAATGCTATATTAACAGTAAAAAAAACGCGCTTTGGTATTATCACAAAAAAATCAATAACTCCACAACCAATAGACCCACGAAAATTATTGTGTAAGTATTTCCATACCGCTGAACAACTTTACTAAGGCTTTTTTATTTGTTTTCTTTGACCAAAGTGTTAAAATTACGCCTGAAATAAAAATCAAAACACGTTTTATATTATTATAAAAAAAATCATAACACCACAAACTTCCAAGCTAAACCTGCAAAAATTAATCTGCAAACATTTCCATACCTGCTGAACAGCTTTACTTATGAATGATTTGCCTATTTAGTTTGACCAAAGGACTGAATTTACATTGTGAAATCTCTATACAATACGAAAAATGCGTTTGTTATGAAATTACTTATGAAAATTTCACAACTTTATAATAATATTCTACACCTGAAGTCCTGATCTGCTGTTAAGGTTTTATTAATAAACAAAACTTTTAAAATATATAAAAAAAAGGAGAAAAATGGAAGAAGGAGATTTATTATTGTTAATAATGGTAAATGATAAACAAATAAATAACGAATGTGGATGAACTAATCAAATTTAAGGGGTCTAGGATATTATTCTGGACACGGGATCTAGGTTAAGATTCCCCTAAAGTATATGCTTCATTATATAAAGTCACGTGATAAAAATCGTGAATTTTTGTAAAAATTGAGGCGGTCGTGCGAGAATCTAAATTTTTTTTTAACCGACCTGCTAATTACACTCTTTATAAAAAAAAAACACTTTCCACGGTTGTCATATCCTATACCGTTATAAATACAAACTAAAGTGACCGCGTCAATTTTAAAATTTTATGTCATGAAAATCTAGTTTTTTTTTTGCCCGGCATTATCAATAAATATTTTAGTTTTTATACTGAAATAAAAATAAATACCTACATAGATTTGATAAACATATTATTTAAACATAACATACATATAATTACAGCATTTAAATAATTAAAGCAAAAATTCTTTTTACGAACCAGAAAGCCAGAAATTATTTTCCTTCTTAATATTTTTCTCCAAAATATGCGTCAAATTACATTCCTTTTTACTAAGAAAACATAGTAAAAATGCCTTATAGTTCTAAAGATATTCTTTACTAAGAAATTATAGTTAAAAATGTATACTTAGCTTTAAAAATATTTTTTTACTATGAACTATAGTAAAAAAATGCTGCTGCAGCTTTAGAAACATTTTAACTAAGAGATTAAGTAAAAATACCTCTAAAACTTTGGTATCTGTGGTTTTAAATAGAAAAGCTAGTTAAAAATACCACCACAATTTTGAAAATATTTTTATTAAGTAATACCTAGTTAAAATGCATCTGCATGCATTTTATTTATAAAGACCTTCCTGTGGAAATTATATCAAACTTTTGTTATTCTATTAATTTTACCAAAATTAAATTAATGTCGTATTCATACACAAAATATTTTTTAAAGCAAAGGAAGAATGCTTTCAACTTGTACTTCATGTTCTAATATGATACTAAACTATTTTAAAAATACAGCAACGCATGCTGCCAATTTTAATTTACTCCGCCATTCAAATTATTGATGATTTCTACAGTGACTCTGTGTTAAATAATTTCGTTCCTTTTAGGTGGTAATTTGTTCTTTTTTCTTTTTTTTTTCTTGTGATACGTTTAATGAAATAATTCAGGATATTAATGGTAAATTACATTTTATTTATTAAATTTAGCATTATCAAATTATTTTAAAAAAAATAGGTAAAAATGCAATTAGACTAATGAAAATAAAGATTCATTTCTGCAACCATTTGAAGAATTAGAAATCAATCGCAAGATTTCAAAATTACAGCAAATTTTTCATTAATCCATAGTTATTCTTAATCACTAATTATTAACAAATTTATGAAATAAAAATATGTATTTATTTATTACTAGCTTAAAATATTTTATTGTAGCTTATTCGATATAAAAAATTTAATTTGAAACTTATTTGTGATATCAATAAAAATATCAAAAATAAAAACAAGATCGTCTACACTACATCATATGGGTGAGCATGGTAAGATAATTCTAGTTGTCATAAATTATGATGAATATTAATTATTTTTTAAATATATACTTTGGTAAATAAAATGTTATTAATAAATGCAATAAATGCCTCTATTAGATGATTGTTCGCGTACAAATTGTGATCAAAAAATAAAATAAAATCGAATCTGCTTTTTTTAAACCGATTCCAACCATAATAAATAAATAGTAAAGAAATTCATTCTATCATTTGACTTTTCTGTTATATCTGAATTTAGATATCAGATCGTATGAAAGAATTACATCTCTGATTGATCAGTTATTGTTATATACTAGAAAATCTATTTGAAACGACTCGGATATTTTTTTATCCGTCCATTGTGTAAATTCGATTCGACCTGATTGATTCGGGGTACTTTAATGATCCCTCCATATCTGCATAGTTCGCGTCGGGTTATATGCGGGTCACGGTTCAAAAATACAAACTTAATAGATTTAAAAAAATTTGAACTAAAAAATTGAATTTAAAAGAAATACCCGTTCAATAACTCAGGTCTGACTGAACCTCTTGAAGAATTACAGGGATAAAATAAGGCAGCAATATTTGGTTATCTTTTTATATTTTGTGCTTTTCAAATTTCTAATAAATCTTTAACTTTCTTCGTTAATTTTGTTTTAATGCAAATAAAAAAAATTTAAATTTATAAAAAAAATGCCAATTGAAACTTATTTAAAATATTGCTGCAGCCAAGATTCTTGCAAATAAAAGATGATTTCGTCTTTCTTCTCGATCCTTCTTTATAATAATACATGAACTCAGAAACTATGCCGGTAATGAAAGATCAAATAAAAATATTACAAATAAAGTTTAATTTATATTAACCACACAGAGAGACGAAGATAACATCCTAACGAATTTGGTAAAGCGACTTGGTTTCTATCTACCAGTTGCAGAAGAATTAAAAAAAATTTTTTTAACATATAAAAAAAAAATGACGAAAAAATCTAATGCGGATTTTAACGGTTTACCGAAATTCAAAATATCACCAATAACGTTATTTAATTTATATTTACAGTATATAAATAAATCTGTAGAAACACGTTGCAATAAATTTTTAAAAATATAATCTTTTTTTTAATAAAAATAAATACTTACAACAACTGATCGAATAGACCCGGGTCATTTGACCCGATTCGAGAAAAAATTCGACCCGAATGATCAGATGATGAGATTAAATGATATAAATGGTATGCGCAACTTGAATTTAGATACTTATTCTGATAATGCAGCCTCTCTCTTGGAAAACGAAAAGTATTGCGAAGTGATCTTTTTGTCAAAGAAATTTTGAAGAGAGTAAGTATTCTTCCACCTGAACATAAAAATTCAAAAAGCATCGAGAAGTTAAATGTCTTAACTGCTCGTATGTATTTTAATAGAGTATAATGATTTATATTATTTCTTTTAAAAAATTTTATAGGACAATTAACATGCTTCGTGATTGGAAATGAAAATATGTTAATAAAGCAATTAGTGTTACTGTGAATGAGTTTAGATGTGGTCATAAATTCGCGCCAGTATGTGTTTAAACTTTAATACTTCTTTTTATTATCTTTATAATAAAATTTAATTACTTCGTTATTAATATTACCCTTAAAATTCGAGTCGAATCCGAGTTAAAAAATAATTGGGTTGAGTTGAAATATTAACGGATGCCTCAAACCCAACCCTTACAGAGACTTTTGAGAAGTTATAACATGGCGCAGTAAATTCAAGTAGTAAAAGTTATATTAGTATAAATGACGAATAATAAATAATGTGTGTTAAATTTAGAAAAATAAAAGCTATGATCAAATGAATGAAAATTTATCAACCAAATAAACCAAATAGTGAACGATACGATGAAATTTTTATTTCTCATAATTTAAAATTTACTTTTATATCATACTCTACTTGAATTATTCTAGTCTCCATATTAGAAACAATTTCAAGAATTAGCAAAGAAAGGTTTTATTGAATGTAACACAAATTATGAAAATTGATCGACATGCATGCAGAAATACTGTATATAAATAATAAAGAAGATCGAGAATGTTCTAAAGCTTTTTTTTTCCTTTAAAAAAAATAAAATCGCAACGTATTTAAAGCTCTCACATAAAAGATAAATCGACAAGCTATCATCATCCTTCAATAATCAAACTCTGCTATCATTCTTGCTAATAGGGTTTACACAACAATATGGAATCACCAACCGCATGGCATATTAACGTTAATGATGAACTTAATCTTTTAAAATTTAATTCAGACAAGCTTATAGTGACTTATACAGGTGAGTTTATAACATTTCATGTTGTATAACAATTATAATTTACTGTTTTCGTATGGAATCATTTATTCTTGCATTACTACAAATATAAAGGTCTGGGTGGAGATGAAAACTGTGCTGCAATTCGAGCTAATTTTCCAATTCATGAACAATGTAAAATATTTTATTTTGAAGTTGACATTATAGATAAAGGGGAAAATGGGTATTGTAAAACTTTGGAATACTGTTTTTTCTAATATATACATATGTTGATTATTTATAATTCTATTCTTTCAAATTCAATAGGAAGATTGGAATCGGATTGTGCGCACATAGCCTAAATGAAATGCCAGGTTATTTTACTTTTCTTTTTTTCAATTTAGTTGTTTAAATAAAATTATTTATTGAATTATTTATATTATAGGCTGGGGTCGTTACTCATACTCGTGGGGTTATCATGGTGATAATGGAAATACGTATTTTGACTATCATTTTCCCCCAAAATATGAAGAATTTGAATATGGACTAAATTTTATGGAACATAAATACGATGGACCAGAATATGAATATGAATATGGACCAAAATTTATGACCGGTGATACTATCGGATGTTGTTTAAACTTTAGAAATAATACGGCATTTTATACAAGAAATGGAGTAAATTTAGGTAGATATTATCATATTACAAGTGCTTGATTATTTTAAGTAATAGAGATTCTAATCTATTGTATATTTAAGGAATTGCATTCCGAAATTTGAGAAATGCTAAGTATCCTTGTGTTGGAATTTTGTCACCAGGTGGAACTGTAGGAGCAAACTTTGGCAATAGAAAGTTCAAATACGCAGGTATACTTATTTAGTTTATTTTTTTCTTTATTTTCTATATTAATATTAATTATTTTTAGTGATGAATGATGATGATATTGATGAATCTTTAAAGGAGAATTGGGCTGAAATTCTTAATCCATATAATGATGAATTAATAAATCAACAGATTTGCAGATTTGCAGATTTAAAACAATCATCGGATGTTGAACACATAAAATACCGAGGAAAATTTTATTTTGTTATAGGTGAATATGAATTAGCACTTTCAGGTTTGATAAAGTTGCTGGAGTTTGAGGCAAATAATACATTTGCATTAAGATATCGAGGAGAAATTTTTTGTATGATGGAAAAATATGAGGAATCACTTGCAGATTTAAACAAATTACTAGAAATCAAACCAAACGATACATGGACGTTAAATGCCATTGAAGTAATTAATAAGTTGAGTATAAAGTTAGTTCATGTTAAGGATTAAATTTAAAAATTCTTTTCTAATTAATAAAATATCAAATTTTCAGCAAAGATTTAAAAGGTAATGGAATTTATATCATTAGCAACATTATTGTAATGAACATTTATATATTTGCTAAATAATTCTTTATTTTTATTTTACATTAATATTATAGCTTGTAAGCCATAATACAATTAAATTTAAATTAAACATTTTAATAAACAATATCTAATGATTGTATTAATTTCGAAATCGGAAAATGAACTCTTTGTACATCTTAACATACGCTGCGCTTGTTCGATATAAATTTCGATGATAAAATTTTTTTATCATTTAAATGATACCATAGGGAGTAAGTTTTCTATAATTTTTATTTGCAATTTAAACATAACTAATTTTTTTAAAAAAAATTTTTAGTCGGTAGTTATTTTTATGAAGTATATTATATTTAATTATAATAATTTAGACCCTCTAAATTTTTATTTAAAATTTATAGAACGTAAGTTATATTTATTAATAAAATTAACTATAATAGTTACTACAATATCAATCAAAAATACTAATAAATTATTAATATTACAGAAAGTAATTATTTGAATTAATTAATTATACTTTTTATTGATTGTAATGAAATTTAAATACAACTAAATCTTTATTAAAAAATCATTAATTAATAATATATATAATAGATAGTAAGCTATTTTTATTGATTATAGGTATTTAATTATACTTTTTACTGTAAGTTTAACTCAATTAAATTCTTTATTTAAAATCAAAAAAATTACTAAGGAGGTATATTATTTTTATTAATTATCAGTATTTAATTATACATTTAAATTTAACTAAATTTTTTATTTAAAAAAATAATTATTAATTATAATATAATAGATTGTAAGTTATTTTTATTAATTATCTGTATTTAATATACTGTAATTTAAACAACCAAATTTTTTATTTAAAATAATTAAAAATATAATAGATGGTAAGTTATTTATTGATCATTAGTATTTAATTATACTTTTACTATAATTTAAAATTAACTAAAATTTTTATTTAAAAAACAATTAATAATTAATAATAAAATAGATAGTAAGTTATGTTTATTAATTATCAGTATATAATTATACTATTTATTATAATTTAAACCTATTTAAATTTCTTATTCAAAAAAAAAATTAATAATTAATAATATAATAGATAGTAAGTTATTTTATTGATTATTAGTATTTAATTATATTTTTAATGTAATTTAAACTTCTAAATTTTTATTTAAAAAAAAAAAAAATAATTAATAATATATAGCTAGTAAGTTGGTTTTATTATTTATTAGTAGTATTTAATTATATTTTTTACTGTAATTTAAATTTAACTAAATTTTTTATTTAAAATCAAATATTATTAAAGGGAGTAAGTTGTTATTAATTTTTACTGTAATTTAAACCTAACTAAATTTTTTTATTTAAAAATCAAAATAATATTAAAGGGAGTAAGTTATTTTTAGTATTAACTACATTTTTTATTGTATTTTAATCTTAAACTCAACTAAATTTTTTATTTATAAATCAAATATACTACTAAAGAATGTAAATTATTTTTATAAATTATCTGTATTTAATTATACTTTTTACTGTAATTTAAACTTCACTAATTTTTTTATTTAAAAAATAATATTTTAGTTCGTAAGTTATTATTATTAATTAATAATATTTAATTATTCTTTTATTGTAATTTAAACTCAACTAAATTTTTTATTTAAAAAATAATATTTTAGTTCGTAAGTTATTTTTATTAAGTATTAGTATTTGATATTTCTTTTTACTATAATTTAAGCTTAACTAATTTTTATTTAAAAAATAATCTAATTGATTATTTATAATATAATAGATAGTAAGTTATTTTATTATTATAAGTATTTAATTATATTTTTGTTATTATTTAAACTTAACAAATTTTTATTTAAAAAAATAATAATAATAATAATATAATAGATAGTAAGTTATTTTTATTGATTATCAATATTTAATTATATTTTTTCTATAATTTAAATTTTTTATTTAAAAATCAAAAATATTATTAAAGAATGTAGGTTATTTTATTGATTATTAGTATTTAATTATACTTTTTACTTTTTACTGTAATTTAAACTCAATTAAATTTTTTATTTAAAAAAAATGATATTTTAGTTTGTAAGTAATTATTATTAATTACAGTATTTAATTATACTTTTTACTATAATTTAAAATTAACATAATTTTTTATTTATTAAAACAATTAATAATTAATAATAAAAATAGATAGTAAGTTATATTTATTGAATATAAGTTTTTAATTATACTTTTTATTGCAATTTAAACTTTACTGATTTCTTATTTTAAAAAACAATTAATATCTTTAGCTAGTAAGTTATTTTTATTGATTATTAGTATTTAACTATTTTTACTGCAATTTAAATTTAAATTCAACTAAATTTTTAATTTTAAAAATAATTAATAATTAATAATATAATAGATGGTAAGTTATTTTTTATTATTAGTATTCAATTATTCTTTTATTATAATTTAAATTTAAATAAATTTTTTATTTAAATTAAAATGCTATTAAAGAAAGTAAGTTATATTTATAAATTATCTTTACCTTTTACTGTAATTCAAATATAAACTAAATTTTTTATTTAAAATAAGCTTGTAAGTTATTTTTATGAATAATCAGTATTTAATTATATTTTTTACTAAAATTTAAAATTTAAATTCAATTAAATTAAATTTTTTATTGTAATTTAAACTCAACTAAATTTTTTATTTAAAAAATATTATTATTAGTTAGTAAGTTATTTTTATTGATTATTAGTATTTAATTATACTTTTTGTATAATTTAAATTATATTAAATTTTTTATTTAAAAAAATAATTTCAAATTTTAGATAGTAAGTTATTTTTATTGATCTTAATATTTAATTATAATTTTTACTGTAATATAAACTCAACTAAATTTTTTATTTAAAAAAATAATTTCAAATTTTAGATAGTAAGTTATTTTTATTGATCTTAATATTTAATTATAATTTTTACTGTAATATAAACTCAACTAAATTTTTTATTTAAAAAAATAATTTCAAATTTTAGATAGTAAATTATTTTTATAATTAATAGTATTTAAAGTATTTAATTATAATTTTTACTGTAATTTAAATTCAACTATAATTTTTATTTAAAAATCTCAAATACTATTAAAGGAAGTAAGTTATTTTTATTAATTATTAATATTTAATTTTACTTTTTACTAAATTTTTACTAATTTAAACTCAACTAAATTTTTTATTTAAAATCAAAAATTATATTAAAGTATGTAAGTTATTTTTATTAATTAAAAGTATTTAATTATACTTTTTACTGTAATTTAAACTCAACTGAATTTCTTATTTAAAAAAATAACTAAATTTTAGCTTGTAAGTTATTTTTATTAATTATCAGTATTTAATTATATTTTTTATTATAATTTAAAACTCAACTAAATTTTTTATTTAAAAAAATAATTAATAATTAATAATATTGATAGATGGTAAGTTAATTTTATTGATTATTAATATTTGATTATACTTTTACTAAAATTTAAATTAATCCAAATTTTTTATTTAAAATCAAAATACTATTAAAAGAAGGTAAGTTATTTTTATTAATTATATGTATTTAATTATACTTTTTATTGTAATTTAAACTTAGCCAAACATTTTATTTAAAAAAAATAATTAATAATTAATAATATAATAGATAGTAAGTTATTTTTATTAATTATCAGTATTTAATTATATTTCTTTACTAAAATTTAATTTTTATTTAAAAAAATAATATAATTTTAGTTTGTAAGTAATTTTTATTTTGAAAGTTATTTTTATTGCTTATAAGTATTTAATCATACTTTTTACTCTAATTTTTTATTATAAAATAATTAATAATTAATAATATATAATATAGTTAGTAAATAATTTTTATTAATTATTAGTATTTAATTATACTTTTACTATAATTTAAATTCAATTAAATATTTATTTAAAATTAAAATACTACTAAAGGTAGTAAGTTATTTTATTGATTATAAGTATTTTATTATATATTTTACTGTATTTTTAAAAAATAATCAATAATTTATAATATAATAGATAGTAAGTTATTTTGTTGATTATATATATTTAATTATATTTTTACTGTAATTTAAACTTAACTAAATTTTTTATTTAAAAAATAATTAAAATATTAGCTTGTAAGTTATTTTTTTATTAATTATATGTATTTAATTATACTTTTTATTATAATTAAATTCAATTAAAATTTTAGTTTGTAAGTTATTTTTATTGATTGATTATAAGTATTTGATTATACTTTTTATTCTAATTTTTATTAAAAAATAATAAATAATTAATAATATATTAAATAGTTGGTAAGTTATTTTCATTGATTATTAATATTAAATATATTTTTTATTATAATTTGAACTTGGCTAAATTTTTTATTTAAATAAATAATTTAAAATTTTAGATGGTAAGTTATTTTTATTGATTATTAGTATTTAATTATACTTTTTACTTTAATTTAAACAACTAAATTTTATTTAAATAAATAATTTAAAATTTTAGATGGTAAGTTATTTTATTGATTATTAGTATTTAATTATATCTTTTTACTGTAATTTAAACTCAAATAAATTTTTTATATAAAAAAATAATTAATAATTAATAATATAATAGATGGTTAGTTATTTTTATAGATTATTAGTATTTAATTATAGTTATTGTAATTTAAACTCAACTAAATTTTTATTTAAAAAAAAATTAATAATTAATAAATATAGATAGTAAATTATTTTTTTTATTATTAGTATTTAATTATAATTTTTACTATAAATTAAATTCAAATAAATTTTTATTTAAAATCAAAATATTACTAAAGGGGGTAAGTTATTTTATTAATTATTAGTATTTTAATTATACTTTTAATTATAATTAAACTTAACTAAATTTTATTTAAAAAAAAAATTAATAATTAACAAATATAGATAGTAAGTTATTTTTATTGATTATTAGTATTTTAATTATACTTTTGATTATAATTAAACTCAAATAAATTTTTTATTTAAAATAATAATATAAAATTTTAGATCGTAAGTTATTTTTATTAATTATTAGTATTTAATCATACTTTTTACTATAACTAAATTTTTTATTTTAAAAATAATTAATAATTAATAATATAATAGATAGTAAGTTATTTTTATAGATTTTGAATATTTAATTATACTTTATAATTTAAATTCAACTAAATTTCTTATTTAAAAATCTAAAATACTTTTAAAGAAGGTAAGTAATTTTTATTGATTATTAATATTAATTTTAACTTAATCTATAATATAATTTCTATTTTTAAAAATATGCAATAAATTTGTAAATTTTTAATATAATAAATTAGTAAGTTTTATTTTAAAATTATAATCCAATTATAATAATAATATTAATAATATAAAATATTTAATTAAATTATATTAATAATAATAATAATATAAAATAATTAATAAAATTATAATAATAATACTAATAATATAAAATATTTATTTAGAAAAATAGGAAAGTGTGAAAAATGTTATAAAAAAAATACTGGATATAATTGGTGTAATAAATGTAATTCTAAAGTATTTCGTCAAAATTTTTCTTTTTGGACTAGCAAAAATAAATTTATTGATAAATATATTCAAGAAATTCAACTGAATGCTAAAAATTCAAAGCAAATATTAGAATGGATTCCTTATAATAAATTAATAAATATTGAATATCTTGATAAAGGAGGATTTAGCATTATATATAAAGCTATTTGGTTAGATAGATTTATTAAATCTTATTCATATGATAATAAAAATTGGATTAGAAATAAAGAAATAGAAGTAATTCTTAAATTTCTTAATAAATCATCTAATTTAAATGAAGAATTTTTAAATGAGGTATGAAATTAATGATTATTTTAACTTTAAATAATAAATTTTAAATAAATTTTTATTATTTTAGTGGAAATATCATTATAAATGTTATAGTCAATTAAAAAGATATTCAGATGAAAATCTTATTCAATTATATGGATTTACACAAGATCTAAATACATTAAATTATATGATAGTAATGAAATATGCAAAAAATAGTAATTTAAGAAAAAATTTATTAAATATAGTAAAAGATAAATGGATTATTAAATTATTACAATTATATAATATTATTAATGGACTTGATGAAATACATCAAAAAAATCTTATTCATTGTGATTTTCATCATGGTAATATTTTAAATATTAAAAACAAAATTTTATCTATTAGTGATTTAGGATTATGTAAACCTGTAAAATATTTTCAATCATCTAAAAATAATGATATTTATGGTATTTTACCATTTGTAGCACCTGAAGTTTTAAGAGGTCAACCTTATACTTTAAGTAGTGATATTTATAGTTTTTCTATAATTATGTGGGAATTTATATCTGGAATTCCTCCATTTGATAATGAAGCTCATGATTTTCAACTTAGCTTAGATATTTGTAAAGGCAAACGTCCTAAAATCATTGGGGATATTCCACAATGTTATATAAATTTAATGAAAAAATGTTGGGATATGGATCCATTAAAAAGACCAACTGCATCAGAAATTAAAAAGATTATTGAAAATTGGAAAGATAATATCATTTATAAAAAATTTAAAAAAGAATTAAAGAATGATATTTTAGATTTTTATAAAACAGATAAGATATTAAAAAAAATACAAAATGAAGTTATTGTTAAATCACATCCACAAGCATATCATACTAATCAATTATTTAATTTTTCTAAAAAATTAAATAATATTTTAGATTCAGAAATTAGTCAAAGTATTGGTAATTATTATATTATATTAATATATAAAATACTTTAATTTTAATAATTTTTTAAATTTCTTAATATTAATATATTTATTTAATTTAATAGAAGATTTAAATATTAAAAGTATTGAAATAAAAGATTTAAATTATTTTTAAATTAATTATTTCTATATAGTTAAAAGAATTATTTATTTCATTTGTATTTTATAAGTATTTATTTAATAACACTATATATAGAATATTTTATTAAAAATATAGTTTGTAATTGTTAAATAAAATTTATAAAAAATTAAAAGCAATTTTTAACAATTTACCAAATAGAGCTACATTTCTTCAACTTTAGAAATCTATTTACTGCTGTGGGGATCGAAATCGATTCAAAATATTAGAATTAATTTTAGAATCGATAAATCGTTTCTCAAGTTTCGATTAATCTATTTTATTTTTGACATTGCGATTTTTTTGATCACAATTTAAATCAAAATTATATTTATATAAAAAATTATTTTCAAAGAAAAAAAAATATAAAAAAATAATTTACATTTACATATTCTTCAAAAGCAGGTAGACGATAATGATTCATCCATTGGTGTAGGAATTTATTTCCTTAGTGATATAATTTATTTTATGGTTATTTTTAATCATGAATGTATGCTATATATGTTTTATTAGGTTAATATTTAGTTTCTTTTTTATTTTTATTTTGAGGTATGATGTCGAATTTATTTTTAAATTTTTATTATTAATCATATTATTTATTATTTGAGAATTCTGCAATTTCTTTTACCCAAGGATTTCTTTTTTGCTATTTTGAGCTTTGTGATTATTTGTATATAATCTCATTAAAAACATTTATTCAATATTCAAATTAACTCTTTGTTTATTCAAAAATGTTGTTTGTATACATGTTTTATCAAATGATAAAACAAATTTGCAACACAATTATTTTTTAGAAATTAACTAAAACTGTTACACTGACTTTTATGCGATCTTTTTCAGAATAAAATTATCAATTAGAATGTATTTCATTACTGGGTGTGCATTGAAGGCATGATCTATGCTGCGCTAATCAACTATAGCCAATTATGTGATTTGAATTGGTTGGCCGATCTGACCAATATGACAAATTGTCAAATATGACAGATTGGTCATATTTGACTAATCTACCAGATTTATTATATTCTTTTATACAGTGTGTATTATATCTGTTAGTTTAGATAGATTAGTTATATTTATTATATTTATTATATTTATCATATTTTATTTACTATTATTTTATTTTGTATAAATATTCTGTATCTTTGACCTGTTAAATGGCAGAATCACTACAATTCTCTAATAAATCAATAACATTTTATCTCTTAAACTTATCTTTGCTTGTGAAATAATTAATTCTTCTTTAAATCTATATCAATAAAGATGACTTAACCCTTCAATTTAATTATTTGTGTTTATTTCTTCCATAGTTTAGATGAACTTAAACTCACTACTAATAAATAATCTTTATTAACTTAATAATGAATAGTTTAAGTTTAACAGCATATAAACTGTAATTTGTATTAATGTGATTACATTATTAAAAAAATTAAATTACTAGTTTAAATGTAACTTTTAACAAAGGTAGCTAGTAACAAAATACATAAACCCCAATTGAATCAAGTAAGAAAGATATTTCTGCTTTTTATATTTGGAATTAAGTTATTATTCATATTGGATTTGTAAAGTCAGGTTCAGCTCAAATCATGTTATCTTGTTCTTTAATTTTTGATAAGTTCTCTAAAGACAAACAGAATAGTAAATTTTTTTTGATATATTATTTGTGATTAAAATCAGGCTAGAATGGCTATATTAAACAGTATAATTCTTCATATTAAATGGGCTAATTCCTAGCTAAGTTTGATATCAATATTTAGATTTAAATCAAATCAAACTAGAAGTTTAAATTCGATAATTGATTCATATAAATAAAATTGATTTGTAGGCAGTCAGAAAACTTATTGTGCACTATTTTGATTTTTGCTTTAGAATTTTTATTTTTGTTATAGTATTTTGATTGGTCAATTTTTAAAATCTGAAATTACTTTAAATATATAATATAAAAGAAAATCGCTTATTTATATATTTAAATGCAAAAATATGCTAAATATATATAAAGAAAAGAAAAAGAAAAAAATTTGCTAATTTTTTTTAATAACCATCACTATATTATTTATCATTATCATCATCTCATCTTTATTTCCTTCACTTCCTTTATCACTTATTTTCTATCATTTTATCTATTGTTTCTTCTCTTTCTTCTTTTTCTTTTATCTCTATTTTATCAGAAGAATTATACTTATCATCTTCATTAGAATACCAGTTTTTAGCTCTTTGCTAAATTATATAATAATAAATAAACAAATAAATAAATGTATTAAATTTTATGCAAGTTTATGAAGTTTATGAAACTTATCATATTTTGTAAAACTTTTAGTTTTATAAGTTTTTTGGAAATATTTATACCTTGGTTAGAAGGATTTAATAATATCTCTCACATATTAATTACAAACGTGATTTTAATATGAGGAATATTTTTTTGCCAAATCATATCTTATTGATGATTTGATTCATAAATAAACCACCTGATTCTTCTCTTTTAAAGAATTCAATAAAGCATTTACTAATGGTAAGATTTTTTTCCATTGTTGAATATGTAAAGCTTTTGCATTAGTATTAATTTAATGAAAATTGTAACTATCAAAAACATAATACAATGCTTTTTTGACCTTAAATGTTAATGTCCTGTGAATACTGCGGAAGCTTCAAAGTTTACTATTTATTAGCTATTAAAAAACAAAAATTAATAAGATTGATTTATAATTTTAATAAATGATTTAAAATCATTTCCTACTCTCTAATGAATTTCTTTTTCATAATAAACTATCTATTTATTCTTCTTTTTATATTTTCTAATAAACTTCTTGTATTTTTTAGTAAAGAACTTTTAAGTTGTTTTTTTATTTTTTCTTGTATTGGATATATTAACTATACATGAAGTCGAAATGAAAACCCAAAAGTCGAAATGTTTCGACTTTGGAGGTCAAAGTCAAAATGAAAAGTCAAAATGGTCGAAATTACGTCA